TCTGTTGACGATAATATAATCTATTTGATTTCTGACTATTTTGTTGTTATTGTCAGCTGGTGACCTCCATGTATATAGTCTACGTTTAGGAAGTTTGAACAAGGTATTTGTAATTATGAATATTTATATATTTATATAATAAAATGTCTATTTTTACGCAAAAAATTTTATTTTTATATGCAGGTCAACAACAGATGCAATTTTCATTTAAAGCAGCTGGTAGAAAAATACAGGAATAAAGAAACAAACGCTCATATGATATTCAGTGATCATGAAAAACCATATGATAGAGTTACTCGAGAGGCTGTGGCCACCAAGAAATTATTTCTTATTTTCCTAACTACAGGGTGGCATTCCCTGGTGCTTGATGTATGCCTGATGATAAACTGGAACAGTGGAGACAAGCTCTCTCAAGAAAAAAAAGTTTAAAACTTAGTAAGATAAAAACAAAGTATTTGGAACGTTCACATAATTAAAGTGATAGATCTGGATGATGAAATCATTGTGAAAAGTGATAGTTTTGTACCTAAGATTGGTCTTGCATGCGGAATAATGGGAAAACAGATGGAGATTCGTGCAATAGAATTAGGTTGGGATGATGAAATGGAAAGAAGCAAGTGTTTTGTTGTATTGCAAAAAGACTCCAATGAAAATGAATAGAAGATTCTATAAAACTGTCCCAAGACCGTCTATGAACTGAATGTTTAATGCATGTTTACCGTCGAGATACTAATCACCCAATATGAATATTTGCTGATTTACAAGTTTTGAATGCAACGGTATTCAAAATTTAAATTAGCGTTAGCCATTTAATGTTATTAGAATCATTTATTAAGGGCAACCTTTATGATTTAGTGTTATCTCACACTAGTGTCTTTTTTATCAATGCCAACGTAATTTTTATTTGTGAATATTTAAGTTATACTATAAAATGAATTTATTACAAAAGCTTTAACAAGAATAGGGACGTTTATTGTCACGCAAAAATTATTATTAACATCATCTTAATAAAATTGTAGTAAATATTATCTTTTAGTATTTAAAATATACTGATAAGATGCTTTTATTGCAAAAGCTTTAACATGCTCTTTACATCATGAGTTTTTGCTCGTGATGGAAACATTACTGGACCGATTATATTTAATTTTATTAAACTCTACTAGTGAAGCAATAAATATTATCTGTGAATACTGAATATATTATGTTTAAAACATATCTCTAATTTGTCCCTGTTATAACTGAACACTGATCTGTCATAATAATATGTCAATAATAGAAATGTTACGTTCCGAAATAGACATATAAGTCTGCGTCTGAAGTGCTGGTATACTTTATAGACCTTAAACAGATAATGTATTTAGAGACAACGTATTTATTTTATTACTAGCGGATCCGTCAGACTTCGTTCTGTCAAATAGATTTTGAATGTGGCAGTTTATTTCTTTAATTCTCCTGAACAGAACCGTCGCCATGATGATAGGGCGGTCTGTGATGGTCAGCTCGGGTGAACTAAGTATCTTCGCCTCGACGAACTTTGGCCAGCCTTTTGGACCCACTAAAAACCTCGACTGGGATGTCTGCCAGAGGACTTCAAACTAAGAGGGGAACTTAAGGTTCAAACCTGATTGAAAAATTTTCTAAAAGGATAGTGAAAACCTAAAGATAACAAACATTTATAAAGTGGATGCTTCAATGACAAAACATAGAGATAATTAATTATTTATTATTAATATTATTAACATAGGGTAAATAACCGATGTTATAAAGAATAATAAAATAAAACGTATATAAGTATTTTCAGTACTCTCTTTATTGTAAAGCAAGTGAATCATAATTATTAACAAAAATCTGTTTTATTTTTATTGTAGTACTTTATGATATACAATGTTTTTTGTTTGATTACCTGGTGAATATACAAACAAATCTGATGGTTTCCAACACGGGAACAGTCAACATAAAATTGACCATTATTCGAATTTTTCATGCCGTAAAAACCATCCTTAGACTTCAAGAACATTTAAAAAAAGAAATATTAAGATTGGTCCATGTATTGTTGAGTTATGCGCTTACCAACACATTTTTTGATTCATTTTTATATTATAGATAGTTTAGACAATAGTGGGTGCTTGTAATTTAGAATAAATTTTATTGAATAGCAATAAAGTTCAAATTGATCCTACATTTCGTTAGAAAATATTTTTATGGGAAAAAGAAAAGGGCTGTTTAAGGGTTTTCCCGGAAATTATTTGAATTTTTCATGCCGTAAAAACCATCCTTAAACTTAAAGGGACATTTTAAAAACAGAATTGTTAAGATTGGTCCATGCGTTGTTGAGTTATGCGCTTACCAACACATTTTGCGATTTATTTTTATATTATAGATATATTACGGCAAGAACTTGAACGACATTTGCTATTATACTAAATCTTACGTTGTTTCGTACATATTTGCATATCTTGTCAATACATTTGTTACAAGACTTTTGCACCAAACAAAACCCTGTAAAAAAATGATAATCTTTTGTTTCATGTTTATATTTTTCAAAAAACTAATATTTATTAAATAAAGTATATTCCATATTTTCAACTCCATTATTTTGGAGCCTTAAAAATATGTTGCTTATCTTCTAACATCTCTACTATCCTAAGTGTAGGCTTTGAATCAGTCAAGCCATTGATAATTTGGGTCTGAAAGTCTCAAGTCAAGTTATTAAAATGTCTTAGTTTGCTTTTTCAGTAGATTGTGGGTTTTGTTAATCGTGGGACTAACTTTTTACATGAAACATATCTAAGAAGTCTTGTAATGCCTTTCGATCTTCTGAGAAATATATTTATTACATTTGTCTTCTGAAAACCGTATTTTTAAACATGTTATATTTGACAAAAGATTAATTGATTTAATACTTTCTGATAAACAATATTTTTATTTATTTGTAGGCGTTGCATAGGTATACAACGATGATGTTTTTCTGACGCGCGAATAATTGTCTGTGCGGGAAACATTTCTCGTTTCTATCGACGGCAGTCATATTGACTTTCACTTTTGTTTCTTATGTCACTCATCTTTCGGCTTTAATATTGTCCTCTTTGATGACAATTGAAATTTTCTTCCATTGGTTTTGGTCCGTAATGATTTCATCTGCTGTGACTCCTGAGCTTAATGTCTGTGTATTGGGAGACTTCGCCTGTTTTCAATTTTCTTGCGTCTCTTCTATCTTTCTTGATTCATATTTTATTTGGTTTAGATTTAAGGGACGTAAAGAGATGAAAATAGTGTCTGGAGTAGAAGGTAGAACTATGACATGTATAACAAAAAAACATATAATATCAGGTGGAAAGACGAAATATTTCATAAAAATAGGAAGACTGAGATCCGAGGACATTAGATGTAGAGGTAGTCCAAAATTATATGGAAGGATTTTTTTATTAGGATGCTAGAAAAATTAGTACAACAACTTAGCAACGATTGTCATTAATTAGCACTTAATGAAGAAGATATTATTCATTATTTATTTGAGATAATGTCATAAATATAAATAAATCACATAATAAAGAATTTGTGGGACATATTGTCGTCGTCACGGTAAAACTCACAAAGTCCCCATTTTTGTCAAAATTGAGCTAAGTTTACTGATCGATTCTCAATATTAATTTTCATGGTCTGGTAGAAATAACGAAGTCGTACAAAGTACGTAGAGTTGGTTGCCTAAAGCACTGAATATATTTAGGTCCAAAATTACCATTACCAAATACATACAAATAATTCGTCTTGCGCTTCATACAGTAGTAAACAAATAAGTATTACCGTCCAAAATACAGAATAGTTTTGATATTAAGGAACTTATCGAGTAATAAGGGAACAGATAAAAGAGGATATAAAAAAAACATCAAGAAAACCGTATAGAACAAGTCATAGAGAAAAACCGAAATCTCAAATGCACCAAACCGAAACTAGGAAAGAAAAACATAATAACTATTAAAAATGAACAAGGACAACTACAAAAAGTAAATCTGATAGCAAACTCATTTGAAAAGTTCTATGCTGATCTGTATCGTTCCAGAAACGATCCCTCTAACTCCTCAAAGCAGAACTTGAAAAGGCAGATAACAAATGTCAACTCAGAAGTGATGCCCGAAATAAGCCACGAAGAAATAGAAAGAGTAGTAAAAGAAATAAAAAGGAATAAAGCTCCTGGAAGCGATAGAATCCTATCTGAATCAATGCTGAAGGAAGGCGGAGAAGAAGCCATCATATATCTAAAAATACATTTAATAAATGTCTATTCCAAGGTAACATACCCGAACAATGGACTACTGCTAAAACAATACTAATACACAAAAAGAGAGACACCACAGACCTGAAAAATTATCGACCAATTTCACTTCTTTCACAACTTTACAAAACCTTTACAAAGATTATTACAATCAGGTTAACAATTAAATTTGACGGATATCAACCAGTCGAACAAGCCGGATTTAGAAAAGGGCACAGCACCTGTGACCATCTATATACTTTGAAAATCCTAATAGAAAAGTTTAACGAATACAATCTCCCATTATGTCTGGCTTTTATATATTATGGAAAAAGCTTTTGATAGCGTAGAACTGTGGGCAATAAAAGAAGCATTAGTCAACAACCGGATCGACTCCAGGTACTTGACAGAAATCACTAAGTCCATTAAATATTGTTTTTGATCAACTAACATTGATTTCAAATAACATAGTGTATTCACATCTCAAAGCATTACTAGACTTGTACAATTGCATCGGTAATTTCCTTAACATTTATAAGGATGAATATTAGACAACAATTATGTACAACTAGAACATCTTCGTTTTCTCAGATCTGTTATTTTGGACTTGGTGACTTTTGCCGCGACAATGACGATATTAAAGAAGTTTCAGTGTCAAACTAAATCACATCTTTTATAGTACACTTCAATGTCTCGACCAGACTGTCCTCTAGAGCCTTCGTATATGATTCAAATAAAATTGCTCAAGTAAAACACATGCTTAGAAATCAAGTTTTTTATTTTAAAGTAAAACGTAATTAAACGTAATACCAATATCTTGTTTACAATTAGACTTTGGGAAGTCCAGCAACAACATCCTCCTCGAAACCTACTTCATTTTTTCCTCGAAGTATTTTAAACAATCCCTTGTCTCCCCAATCTTCATTCCATGAATTAGCAACCAACCAATAAGGAACTCCATTCTCTTCTCCCCAACCTAAAATTCTGACAGCATGCCCTCCTAAATATTCTCCAGCGACGTGTTGATAAACACCTAAAATAAATTTATTTCATACATTAATTTATTAATATATAGTGCAATAACCTTGCAATAATTGAGTTCCTATTTTTTATCGATATAAAATTTATGAGCCTTACACTGCTTCAGTTTCAAATACCTGGGTAAACAGATATATGTGCCAGAAGTTCAATCGAATAAAAAATAAAGGCAAGTATGCCAGCTGGGAATAGGTGATTCTTCGAACTAAGTAAAATATTTAAAGTGCTGTTACTAAATGGTTTACAAAGTGATAGTAAGATTTGCGCACTCTATGGGGCAGAAATATACAAAATCAACTGCTATAAGAAAGAACGATTTGAAGATAAGTATATGGAGTTGTTCATAAACAAGAAGTAACTGTGTCAGAAATAACAACGAATTAGTTATGATTTATGGAGAATCTAACCTGGTAGCGCAGATCGGACTAGTCAGGGTAAAATAGACAGGTCACGTGGACAGAATGCACAAGTACAAGCGGTTGATAAACTCTACCGAGAGACCTCAAGAGGCAGACTTCATCGAAGAAGACTTAAAATCGATCTGCTTTGGTGTCAGGCCCGCGTCCACATTGGACGGTAGTGACGTGGAGCAGTATTTTGTAATAGAAAATAGTTATTAATTTTATGACCGAAATATTTTTTTATTTTAAAATAAAACCTGATATTTTTTAAGATTAAAAAAATGGTGGTTCTTTATTTCTATTTCATTAATGCAATGTTTCTATACTGATAACAAAAATCAAGATTCAAACAGCGTGATATTTAATCTATTTTATATTAATTGCGTTTCCGAGATAATTAAGGCATCTCATACATAAAACTCTGTATTTGCTCCGTGCGTAACTATGGTAGGGGTACCTTGAAACGATGCCAGCGTGCGTAGCGGCGAAATATGACAAAATTGGACCTATCTTTTTACGCATAAATTTTATTAAAAATTGGTGCAAATACATGTTGCGTATTTAATTGTGCTAATAATAGCAAAAATAGTGAGTGTAGTTTTAATAGGTTTCCAGAGATTACATTTATAAATTAGAGAAAAAAAAATATAGATTCGTGCTATTTATATGAAAAAGTAAAGATCAAATAATTTAATTTTTATGCAATTGAAATAGGAAAATTTAAATAATTTACATAAAATGATATTTGATAAGGCTTCAAGATCAGTGCAGCCTACCAGATGACTTTAGCTTTTATATCATAACTTTTAATATTATTGTTTTTAATTGCATGCTTTTCCACATGAAAAACTTGATTTACCAGTACTAGATTTTTCCTTTTCTTTTCCGTTTGGGGTTAAAAAGATAAATTATGATGAATTTTTAGAAACCCAGTTTTTAATACTACATTTATTTTGTTCTGAAGCTATTTTCTTGTACTTACTGACATTTTAAAGTAGTTAATATTTAATATGTTGAAAACGATTTCCGAAGTGGAAATTGAAACGTCAATAAACGTACTTTAACCTTTAATTGTGGCTTATTCCCATTTAATTAATTACATTTATGTTATACATAAACTAAAAAAATATAATTAAAAACTAATTAATTGATATGAGGTTGAATGCTCGAATAAATGAACTTTGAAAAATAAGGCAATTATCGAGCACAAGTTTAATTAAATCTTGCCCAAGTACTTTCGCTTAAAATAGCATCTTCAGGGGCATCTGAAATAAGCCAAAAAAACGTTTTTTAGATGAAGGAAATTAGTTGACTTCGATAAAAACTGGAAGTTAATGGATGAAAAAAGATTTTTTGTGATTAACGTTTTAGACTTACTTCGTCAAATATGGGCTATACAGCAAGCGTAGAATAAACATGAATGTTAACATAAAATTGTACAAAACTCTAAACTAAAACAAGGACAAACAGTTTAAAATTACTTAAAAAGATTCTACGCACAACATTCTTTGTCAGTATTAGGAGAGAGAATGGTACAAACGGAAATGCTAAGGTGACATGTGACGTATGACAGCTTTGATACGCAGTCACAGTCATGGATCTGCGATCTGCACATATTAAAATTCTGTGTAAGTAAGTTGACATTGACCAAAGGAAACTACTAACAAAAAAATATATATAATTATTAATCATTGTCAATTTCGTATTTATTTAACATAATGTTTAACTTCAGATTGGGAGGTCCAAAACTGTCAGATGAAGACGGTAGGTGTCGCGTCAGTCACGCATGGACCCAATACTGGATTATGAAATTACATATTGGAAATAGTTCAAAATTCTATTAATTAATAACATTCCAAATTAAGAATACAAACGTAAATGCCTCAAAATACGCATTCGCAGCATCATAATTTGCCTGATGCAATTGCAGTTATAGTAACAAATTCTGAGAATTACACAATTTAAAGTTTTACAGTCAGTGATCTCAAACGACAGGTTGGATGAAAATCGTCTACAGCAGCATATGGATAAGTAGAGTAATCACTTGCAAATGCACTGGAATGTGGCAAACTATATTTCAAACTGAAAAAAGGCTATGTACAGATAGCAAGTGTTATCCAACACGCAATTTTATGTCGCTCGCGATAAATAGTAGTTTTTGCACTTGTTCCATAACTATTAATACTTACCACTTTTGTAACTGACGAAGTCACTGTACACATCAAAAGCCGCTTCTACTGGACCATACGTCAATACTTCCCTTTGAGTATCAGCAACTGAATAGAAGGAACGCACTGAACCTGAAGCATAAGTTAACTCGGACAAAAAATCGACTGTGGAATCATCACATGTATCTCTGCAAGAAGGTGTCTCGTAGTCCAAAGTGCTGCATTGTACTTTAGTACCATTTGAATGGTGTTCACATGGCTGAAGCGAATAAGGTTGACAACCCTAGAACAAATATATTTTAAGCGATATATTATAACTTTATGTAAATTTTCTGGTTTTAATTAATGGTGAATTGTCATTTTTAATTAACCCTTTACTTTCACTATTATACAGTGCTAGTCAAAAGTCCCCCCCCTTGTATCTTTTGAACGGTTATACTTGTACTAGTAAAATTTGGTGGGAGGTAATAAACAGACGTAGGTTTCTTAACTAGTCATAACAAGTGACGTAATAGTGACAGATGACGTTATAGCGCCACTAAGACGTAATTTTAAATCAGACCTTATGGCAAGTGATACTTCGTTTGAAAACCGTATTGAAACCATACTAATATTATTTGAGTTTCAGCTCATTTTGATGAATAAATTAAATAAATATTAAAATTATATTTTACATCAACGTCAACTTTTTTGACAATTAACCAGAGGCATACGTTAGAATATTAATTAAATGCAAAACTACAATTATTTTAATATACCTATTCAATCATACTAATTTTGTTTGAATTTTAGATAATTTTGTCGAATAAATTAAATAAATACTAAAATTCTAGTTTTGCATTTAATTAATAAAAATTCTAACGTCCGCTTTTGGTTATTTGACAAAAAAGTTGACGTTTATCCATTCTCTAGTTGTTTTTAGTTTGCAAAAGCGTTTATAGCTCAATATTTAGTTTCGGTTTCTGCTTAGTTTTAGTCAATTCTCTAATTATTTTTAGTTTGCAAACACGTTTATACCTGAATATTTAGTTTCCGTTTCTGCTTATAAATAGTTTAGTCAAATCAAGTTTAGTCAAGTTGTTTTTAGTTAGTTTTTCTTAGTTAATATTTAGTTTAATTATTGTTTAACGAGACGTTTCAATTTTTACAAAGGCAGAGTGGTACGTACTGTAGTCGACAAAGTACCAGCTGTGTTAATAACTGGTGAATGTGGAAACAAGTTCCATGCAGCGGAACGTCTTTTTAGTGAGGGTACCCCGATCGTCCTACATCGACAACTTATTTGAGGAAGCTTCTTCGGAAGTTTAAACAAACGAGTGGTGTTTAAGATGTCAAACGATCTGATCGACCAACAATTAGTGATGACAAAAAATGTACATAATTTCAGAAATGGTAGTGAACCCTACTTCTTCTACAGCCCAAGATGCATCTATCTATGGAATCAGTTAAAAGACAGTACACCGAGTATTGGATGAAAACAAATTTCATCCATACAAATTAAAAATTGTGCACAACATTCAGATGATGACCTCGACCGAAGACTAGAATTCTGTGAAAATATGTCCAATAAAATTAACCAACAGCTCGATTACATAAAAACAACTCGTTTTAGTGACGAAAGTACTTTTTCTCTTAATGGAAATGTAAACACACACAATGTGGGGTATTGGAGTGACACAAATCCTCACGTCTTTCATGAAACACATACTAAATTTTCAAAAAAATAAATGTTTGGGCAAGTATTTTGGTAAACCACAAAGTTGAGCCTGTTTGTCTCAATACTAACTTAACTGGTGAAGTGTATCTGGAGATGTTACAAAAAGCAATTGAACCGTTAATACTTAAAATTCAGTAGGATAAATCCAGATGAATTCGGCAACTTAGAAATAACGTTTAGTGCTCCTGCACATCATTTGGTGCAGTAAGACGTTACCTAGATGAGGAATATCGTGGTAGATGGATTGGACGACGAGGTACGATAAAATGACCAGCTCGGTCACTGGACTTCACATCATTAGATTTTTTTCTGTGGGGATACTTGAAATCTAAAGTTTACGCTACAGCACTCGACAATATTGACATTTTGAAACAACGAATTGTTGAATAATGTAGGGCAATTTCCCCCTGACACATTTAAACGAATACGGCAAGAGTGTAGAAATATCCACAAGGAATAATAACAAATGAGGCATAATAGTTAAGTACTAATATTCACAACCATTCATAAATATTAATGAACTGCAAAAAAAAATTTTTTGGTTTAGTGTTAATCAGCCATGAGCAAATTTGAAACTTAAGAGTGGCAAATAATTGATTACAATGTTGCGAATGAATCTGCCTTTCCAATCAATTTTAAATTTGGTTTCACTAGATTTGAATTGACGCTTTACATAATTTCTGCTACTAGTCATGAATTGGTGGGAATTTAACTTTTATGTCAACTGCTTTTGGCCTGGTTGATCGAACCTCCTGCTGACAGAACTGCCATACTATTGTGTGTCGACAATTTATTTTGAGTATTGAAATTAATGATAAAAAAATTTACCTGATTGCTGCCATAAAGACCTCCTGTAGGAATTCCTTCACGTTCCCAAAAAATCCATGCCATATCTGGGTATCCTCCTTCGCATCCATATCCACAGGCATAGCAGCAAGACATTAGATTTTCAGCAGAAACAGGTACTTTGAGCTTTCCCTCGGAGACTATGCATCGTCTGTCACTCATGGCAGAAGCTGCGGCGACGGCCTAAAAAAAATCTCTTCAAATTTAGCACTGTTCTAATCTAAAACGATAATATATAAGTCGTTTATTCAAGTTATATTTTTTTTAGTCACCAATACTCATTAATTTAATCCACGATGATATGAACATATATCATCTAATCATCATATAATTTATTTAAATGGTAAGAATGATTATATTGAATTCAATGAAAACTGGGAAACTATGTACTACGAAGGTTCGTGCGAGTATTCAAGAGAGTCCAGAATATCCTTTATCAAAATGAGACTAATTGCACTCGTGAATTTAAAATGACTGTGAATTCGAATCTGCCACTATTATTTGTTAGCAGTTAGCAATACACCATAGAAGATTGGTATCTTAGCGAAGTATATGCAAGGGCTGGATGTGTTGTTATATGATGTTTAAAATTTATGAGTGGACAGAGTTTTCTTCTTCCGGTGATTACAAATACACGGTCTTAGTAACTACAAAAATAAATGCAAACCATGTATTTTGTCCACATTTTAACTCTAAAACTGATAATAGAATGCAAAATGAGGTGAAGAGAAAAACAGGTTCGGAGATGTATTTTCCGCCTAAAAAATCTTTGTTGGTAGACTCAGTACCACGATCCTGATTAAAAAACGCAGTAAAATTTAAATTACCCAGATGATAGCTATCACTAGACGAGAGTACAGCACTTAAAGAAGAAAGAGAAAGGGAAATAATGCAGACCTAATACCATAGAAGTAAATAGGAGACGATTTTAAAAATATTTTTTAAAAATGCAGCTATCAGTCCAAAAACAAAGCTGTTTGAATGATAAGGCGATTGTGACAGATTAAAAAGCATAGTAGTCTCGGAACAGAAGATTAAAGTAAAATACTAAGTAAGTGATGTATTCGACCGTTGTTGGATGGAAATTCATTTTATCCAACAATAAAACACTGAAAACGTTTGTTTTCAACACTTCCACAAAATTTATTAAATTTTATTATCACTATAGCTGTTTAGTTCGAGTGCCTGTCTCAAGTGATCTATTTTTGGTATGCGTTTAAATTTTATAGTCTTTAACTGAATAAGTTGATGATTGGAGAACTGTTTGTGTTAAGTTAATCTTACAGAATTATGTCTAAATTTTTTAATTTGTTAATTTCCATAGATTCTAATAAAGATAGATTCACATTAACAAATTAAAAAATAGAGACATAATTCTGAATGATCAACTTCAGTTGAGTTGACAAGACAAACAGTTCTCCCCTCCTCAAATTATTCAATTACAGACTATAAAGTGTAAACGCATACTTTGCAACGAATAATACCAATTAACTTAAAAAACAAAGTTCTATAAAGCCTGTAAAAAAACTGTACTGTAAAGAAAAAGAGTTTCCAAAAAAGGCAACCTCACACTGTGCAAAAATTGGGGAGGAATAACCTTGTTTACAGTAATAAATAAAATCTTCACGACCATCATACTTAAAAGATTAACAGACAAGATTGGATTTCGAGCTGGTCAAGCAGGCTTTGGACCAGAATCCTCCTGCATAGATCACATTAATACTGGGAGGGTAATAATCGAACAATCGGTTGAATGGAACAAACGCCTATACATTGTTTTTGTTGACTTCGAGCGTGCCTTTGACAGCTTATCTCATGCTGCTTTATAATAAATTTTAGAGCTAAGAAACGTCCGGCATAAAATAATTTCCATTATAAAGTCACTATACACTCAGGCGAAATGCAGCGTGACACACAATGGAATCACCAGCGACGAATTTGATATACTTAGTGGAGTTAGACAGGGATGCGTGCTTTCTCCGTTTCTTTTTAACATAGCAGTAGACTATGTTCTCACCAAACTAGACTCCGACACAAGAGAGATACAATGGACGTCAATCGCATGCCTAAGCGACCTGGAATACGCCGACGATATCTGCCTGTTAGGACTAAAATTCCAGGATGTGACAGATCAATTGGAAACGCTTTCCATTGAAGCCAATAAAGTAGGCTTTAAAATCAATATTAGTAAAACCAAATCCATGAGAGTAAATAAGAAACAACACGCTATTTACTATCAGCAACATGCAGATTGAAAATGTGCACAACTTTACGTATCTTGGAAGTGTCATAACAGAAAGCGGAGGAACAGAGGACGAGTTCAACAAGCATTCAGCATGCTCAACCCTGTTTGGAGATCTAGCCAGTATACTACAAGGACAAAGATCCGCATATTCCATTCAAATGTCATGTCTGTTCTACTCTACGGACGTGAAACCTGAAAAGTGACAAAAACCCTTACAAATAAACCGCAGGTCTTTATAATAAATGTCTACGACGAATTGTTCGTATTTTCTAGCCTAACATTATCAGAAACCAAGGTCTACTACACCTGATCGAACAAAAAAGGGTAGAACATCAAATCCAGAAAGTGGGGTTGGATTGGTCACACACTCAGAAAAAATAATTCCAGTATTGGAAAGATTGACCTAGAGTGGAATCCCCAAGGAAGACGAAAAAGAGGTCGCCCAGTACAAACTTAGAGAAGATCCATCATGGACGAGATAAAAGGTCAAGGAAAGTCTTGGAATAAGGTGAAGGCCTTAGCGCAAAATACAACCCGATGGCGCGTTTTCACTGAAGCTCTATGCTCCATTTAGGAGTTCAACCTATATCCTATATATACATATATATATATATATATATATATATATATATATATATATATATGTATGTATATAAAATAAAAAAAGTTAATTAATATATGAGAGGTCAACTTATTCTCTTACTTATTTAAATATTTCACTTACCCAACAAGATCCACAAGAAGATTGATCTGCAATAGTACCAATAACATCTGAACACTCTTTCCAATTTTCTCTTGAATCAAAAGAATCAGGAATTTCAATATTTTCACTGTGTATAATTTCTTTAGCCACTCCTAATTTCCCTTTTTTTGCTCCTAATAAATTTTGATCTCTTGGATTGAAAAGTTCTCATCAAAGTTTTTTCCAGCAACCCATGTGCTTTGTTTGCTATTGATATAGTTTATAAAGTCATTTGAAAGAGGATTTAAGTTACCTTTGTAACTTAATACAACAGGTAGTAGTAGTGTAATAATATAAGCCGCCTTCATTTTTGTGAATCTGTAAAAGATGGAGAGTTATTATATTTTTCTTTATATTATACTTGTGATTAAATCTATACGGATGTCATTGAGAACTACTAAAACTAATTAAGGAGGAACTGACAATCTGACGTACATTTTTAACGCTAAGTATAATACTACACTTCATCTAATTTACATACCGATACGCGTCATCGGCGTCATAGCCCGTGACGTCACATGATACCAACACGAAATATTTAGGCGGTAGGTGTGTTCTTTTTTAGAATCACTTTGCCGAGTACACTGGCATTACAGCCACTAAACATATTTTATTATAAAGGCGTAGAAATAATATTTAAAAATTTCTATTAATGTTAACTTAAAGAAATACACAATAATATGTTTCATTTAATTTGTATTAATGCATTATAAAGCGTTTTTATGAAGAACATTTGTTCGGAACACACGATAATTGTAATCGAACGAAGGTGAAATTTTGGCATAAATTGGTAACACTTATTTGACAGTTGCGGTGTTGACACTTTTTGTACTTTATTATTTTGAATTTTAAAGTGAATACCTCTTGTTTTATATTTTTACCTATTTAATAAAATCTGTTCTTTTTAGAACAAAATTAGTGTGTTTTATTTCAAAAATGTCACGTAAGAATTTAAATAGTCGTTGTAACGAGATATAAATAATTAATGAAAAAAGTGTTGTTTTTGTTTAAGTATTCCATTTTACATCTTTATACGACGCATACAAGCGGCTCAAATTGTTTTTAACAAGATTATTTTTTAACTCGTGTTTTGTTTCTATTTATTTACATTAAATATTAATTTGTTTTGTTGTATAATCCACTTTTGCAATAATTATGTGATCTATTTGATTTAAAATAGATTCAGGATTTTTTTATAATTTGGCAACTATGTCAACTTCGATCTCTGGCATTGATAATGACGTGCAACGGTAAGTAAATTAGATGGACTGTACGCATATATTAACAAGGACTTAGTAGTCTGTAGAGCTAAGTGACGACACCATATTTGTTGTCATTGTTCGTTGTGTGTCTATCATACATCAAGTAAGTATAGCAGCATCTCTTTTTGTTCGAGAGATAGCGGGTGAGGAGTTTCAATGCGCTAGAGAGAAACAGGTCGAACAACCGACAAAAGATGTCGTCACTGCTCGTTGCTGGTATGCTGGTGTACTGGAATGGAAATACCTATAAAGAACAGCAATACGATTTTTTGACTCAATTTTTATAAAAGATCAAGTAGTATTAGATTAGCCGAGGACTCATATGATTTAAAATTCATCGTATGTATATAAAAAATGGGAATTACAGATAAGTGTGAATAAAACAGAGCACATAGTAGTAAACAACTTAGTAGTAAAAAATATCTCAAATGAAATTAAAAGATTAAATAGAGCTGTGGTGAAATCAGTTTTGAGCTATGGTTTAAGAGTGTGGAATATTAAAAATAGATCTAAAAAAGGTTTTTGACGCTAGAAATGGATTATATAAGAAGCGCAAGAATATTAAGAGCAGAGAGATACTGAGCCTGTAACAATATTTCATTGGAGGCCACCAGGATGAAAAAAAAAATGAGGTATACCACGCAAATCACGAAATAAGAAAATCAGAAAAGCGGTGAATCACCGAAATCCACGGGAAAATAATGTTTTGGATAGAGAAGGTTGGAGAAGGATGGCGGTAATATAATAAAAACTGTCTTTTTAGAATTATCAACATTTATAATCATTTTACTGTTTTTGAAGTATCTGTATAAACGACTTTATAATTACGAAATTTTGGTGAGTTAATTGTATCTTTTGATTGTTTTTACGTGTTAGGGTTTTATATGCGTGGTATATTTTCTTTGAGCAAATTAATTTTATAAATGGAAAAATTATATATGAAAAACATTCATTTAGTGCTAATTATAATAGTTTCTTTGTATACATCTGTAGATATGAAGATTTATTTTCCAATAAGTTTTGATCAACATTTATTTAACCAAGAATTTTATTCTGATGCTTAGAGGAGTTTCTGCCGAAAATAGAGTCCATGGAAATGATTCCATGGGATTAATCCGTATAGTCGTCGCCAGAGATTGGACCTCTAAAAATCATACGAACAAGCTGAATTTTGCTGAGAACGTCAATTTTGGGACCCCAAGTAACTAGGGGGGAAGGGAAACGGAAAAATTGATTTACCCAGAATCTGTACACCGTAGAAAAAAATATTTCAAACAAAAAATGTAGCTAAGATAATTTTGAATAAAAATGTTTATTAGTACTTTTTGTGTAGAATGAACCGTTCTCTCATAAACAACGCTTGAAGCGACCGGCGATTTTGAATGTTAGTTAGATGTAAAAGTAACAGTAAAAATTCGATATCTTTTGGTTAGAGTGTCCTATCCACTGCGTTTTAAAGATGAAGAGTGCAGCTTTTGTATGCAATTTTTACGTTTTGTGGAAAATGAAGTCAGTTTCTATAAATATGTTCAATAAATTAAGGTTGCGCGATTTTGTCACTTTTTCACATTTCTCGTGAGATTCAATAAAATTTATCCCTTTTAGTGACTGGTCGTAAAAAATTTTTATTTTTAGTGTTGTAGTCTTTCAAACCTTAATATACTAATGGCAAATATATATGAAGCATATAAAATATGCCTAAAAACACAGAGTTGAATCTTTCACATTACAAACAATCGCACGTCACTGGAAATGCCTCCATGAAGACGGTACTGACTCGGAGTTTGTAGCTGAAGTTGTGTAGTTTCGAAAAACGTACTTGTGTAATCGTAAAAAAGCAGTTTTAAACATTTTAGATCGTTTGTAATGTGAAAGTGTAAATATCGGTTTTTAGGCATATTTCAAATGCATTACATTTGTTGCCAAAACTCAAAATCGAAGTTACATGTTATAAGTTTTAAAAGAATCTCTAGCAATAGAAATTCCATAGTGACCGGTCAATGAATGTGATAAATTTTATTGATCTCATGAGAATCGTACAAAATGGCAAAAACTGCGCAACGTTTATTTATTTAACACCTTTATAAAAACTGACTTAATTTTCGGAAAACACAAAAAATGAATACGAAAGCTGTAAGTACTATTCCCCATTAAAACACGTTTTGAGTTTTGTCGATAGGACATTCTGATTATAAAAATATCGAATTTTTAACGGCCGGGTTGATAAATGGAGAACTAAAAAAGTTGAAAAAAGTAAATATCCGGGTACACAATAATTAACGAAAATAATGAGTACACAGAAGAGATTAAGGCAAGAATAGGATAGGTAAGAAATTTTTTCAACAAACTGAAAAAAGTGCAGCAGGGACATTTCAATTTTTTTAAAGATAAGACTTCTGGAGATGCTACGTGTTCTCCGTATTATTTTATGGGTTGGAGGCTTGGACATTAAAAAAAGATGTTTCGGACAGATTAGAAGCCTTTTAGTTATGGGCCTACAGAACGATATTAAGAATAAGTTGGGTGGATAGAGTCACGAATGTCGAGTTGTTGAGACGAATGGAAAAAGATAAAGAAGAGGTTTTAAATACAATTAAAGTCAGAAAACTGCAATATCTGGGACATGTAATGAGGGGCGAGCATATAACTGGTATCAATTAATAATGCAAGGAAGAATACAGGGTGGAAGGAGTCGGGGAAGAGGACGCATCTCCTGGTTAAACAATTTGAGAGCTTGGTTTAACTGCACTTCTGCTGACCTCTTTAGAGCAGCGGTATCGAAAGTGCGAATTGCCATGATGGTTGCCAACCTTCTTAGAAGAGTTGGAACATGAAGAAGAAGAGAGTTGATACAAATTTTATTTAAAATGATTTCGCATGCGTAACTGACATTCAAAATCGCCGGTCGCTTCAAGCGCTGTTTCTGAGAAAACTGTTCATTCTACATAAAAAGTGCTAATAAACGTTTTTGTTCAAGATTATTTTAACAACATTTTTTATTTAAAACATGTTTTTCTACATAGTAAAAATTCTTGGTAATTCGATTTTTTCCGGTATCCCCCACCTACGAGGGAGCTTTTAGGGAGAAGCCCGGGGGTAAAGGTAAACTTTTTTGCATATTTTCTGGGGTCCTAAATTTGACATTTTCACCAAAATTCAGATTGTTCGTATAATTTTTAGATGTTCAGAGTAATTTTCTTTTGACGATTTTATCATATGAAATTTTCATGATGAACCATATAAAAACATTCATCATCAATCATAAAACGTAAGACAGTCAATTTTTAACTAGTATGTTTAAGTGTGTAAATTAAGATTTCCGAATAGTAATATTTGGTGAAGAAAATATGAAAATAGTTACAATTCAAGAAATTAAAATACTTGAAATCACTTTAATTCTATAAGAAGTACCCAATAAACATGGAAAGGGATAAATAAATTAAGAAATAGAAAAAAAAACTTGGGTATTGTTAATATTTTTTAAATACTTTTAAAAAATATTTTATATTTTTTAAACCATTTTAAATAAATTGGAAAATTTACTTGGCGTTTTTTCTCGAATTTCTATTAATTAAAAAAGTATTTTCATGGCGGACAGTACTAATAAACTGTATTATTTCTACTTACCTCTATTCACTGACTTCTAATGTAAAAAATATAAGTAAACACCATTTATATATCATATACCAAGTCACGTGTATCATTTTTTTTTTAATTCAACCTAAAATATTAGGTCTATTGTGTAATTAATATGATCACCTTCGGGATTTCCAGTTTTTGTATTTAAATCTCCTATACTTAAAAGGGTAAAATATTTTATCAGACTAATCCTAAACCACTTGAAAGATACTAAATCCCAGACATTATTTAATTGCAATTGCTTGTAATGAAATAGTAGCAAGTTTGATGAAATACGATTAAAATTTTTTTTTTATTATTACCCATATATTCTGAGTTACCAAAGATAGCAATGCAACAATTATTATTCAATCATTTTACAACATGCTTTCTTCTTTCCCAGATCATTGTCATATTTATACAGATTCATCCAAAACTAT